AGTTATTCATGAGGGTTGAAGATAACCTCGGTTATCCAGATGTTGTTGAAGTTGACACTATACATTCATATTTTGAAATCAAATTTACAAAGTAAAAAAATTCGTGTATTCTTGATAAAATCACTTGGTTGTTGTATTATACCTAGTCTAATATCAACTGGGGTGGTTTCGAATCCCCGGGTGTACGTGACAAGGAGTAGGGTCGCCTGTCCAACCTCGTGGGTTTTCTCCGGGTCCTCCGGTTTCCTTCCACTGCTAAAGACCCCTACGCGCAAGCGAATTATTGAAATAAAATTAGACCATATGTTAGTCCCGAAATGACCTAGTTTCTGTCGAGTGGACGTTAAACCCCATTTCTCTCTCTCCCTCTCTCTTAAATGTGATTTAATGATATATTTGAACTAAAAACATATTGAAACTAATTTATCCATCAAAAGTTTGCTTTAGGTCCCTCTTACATCATTTTAATCGGAAGAAGCAATCGCGTGTGTCACGTGACTTGACTAGGGGAGAATCAATCCATTTTGGTTTGCATTAGCCGTTAGACCGCAGTCCATTTGCCATAAATATCAAAGCCTAAGTAAATTCTTGGATTATCCTCTGACAACTTCTTGTTCTGTCGTTTAATCGCAGAGTCTACTGGACACTTAACAACCTCAGTGTTCCCACAACGGGGATCGCGTGGCTAAGTGGGTAAGACGCTGGCTCGCTAGCCTGGAGGTCGGGTGTTCGATCCCTGCATTGGCCGAGAAAGTTCATCCAGATTTTCCGGCGTGGTTCCCCCTTGTCGGTGATGCAGGGCGGAGGGCCTGACAAGGACAGCTGTCTAGTCCTTCGGATGAGACGAAAACCGAGGTCCCGTGTATACATTGGAATGCACGTAAAAGATCCCTTGGCAGTTGGAATTTGATATAAGCGTAGGCGATAATGCCGCTGCCCTGGCAAAATGTCCCTCATAGCACACTGTATGGCGTAGGCCCGTCTTCATTAGCCCAGCATAGGAGCAGAACAGTGGGACGTTAAACAACATTTCATTTCATTGTTCCCACAACCATAAGCCATTAGATCAACACATAAGAAGCGCTCCTTACACCACTCAAGCTGACAGGCTGTCAGTTAAGGACTTGGATACAATTTTGTCTTGCGCGCAGCCCACATGTGTTTTTCAAGGAATCCAGTATATTTCTATTAAGACTGGGTCTCAAATTCCCATTCATACCAAAATTGCCATACATTTATTGGAAATAACTACCCGATAAATACGGTCATGGGAATGTATCTTTAAAATTCACTATAGTCGTTAAAATATTTGTCATTTGAATAACTGACAAAATTTAATCTTTAAAATTCACAATGGTCATTAAAATATTTGTCATTGGAATTATTAATGGAATTTAATTACAAATAGAGTACATTTTTGTTTCGCTTCCTCATTCTCGTGTTTACCTGGAATTTAACCTTGTTTACCTTTTATCATTGGCTTAGTGAGGGGTGTTGGGTGTTGGGTATCGGAATGGTTAACGCGTGCACGTTTGATCACTTGTCTGTCATTGAGTCAAGCGGCGTGGTTTCGAATCCCCGCTTGTATGTGACAAGGAGTAGGTTTGCCTGTCCACTCTAGTGGGTTTTCTCCCGGTCCTCCGGTTTCCTCCCACCGCTAAAGACCCCTACACGCTAGCGAATTGTTGAAATAAATTTGAACCATATGTTAGTCCCAAAATGACCTAGTTTGTGTCGACTGGACGTTAAACCCATTCTCTCTCTTTCTCTCTCGATTAGTGAGAGCGGCGCGATCTCACTAACCAGCCGTGGAAGTTCTCGGAAATTTTCTAGCATGGTTCCCCCTTGTCAGTGGTGCAGGACGAGCGTACGAGGTCCCGTGCACACATTGACATGAACGTTAAAGAACCCTTGAAATTTGTACATCGAAACAAGAGTGTATCGTGCACTTACAAGAAGAACTCTTTATGGTTAGAATACGACTTGGAGTAGACCGAACTTCCGCTGTCCAGACAAACTGTAACTCATATTATAGGACTAGACAATTCCCGTCTTTATAAGTTTGTTTGATGTTAAACCTCTTTTCATTTCAGTAGCCGATACAATTTTTTATAGCCGGTATAAACATATCTTCACCACTATAGATATTTGATATACACATTAATGCATGTATTTAGTTTCACCAGATTAGTAATATATATGTTTTAACGCCTTCTTCAACCCCTTTTTATTGTTGTTGACAACATGTGAGGTCGCTTGTCCAACAGCGAGGTATTTTATGGTTTTTCATTTTATCGTCCTACTTGAGCACTTTGTGTTACAGAGCATAAATATGCATATACCTCGAGCTATTCAACGTAGGCTATTTTGTTAGCCAAATTAACACAAGAACAAAAGAAATATAAATAATGAAAGTCAGAGAAAAACAAATGGAATAATAGTTCTGTATAACATAAAGTGGGTCATATTAAGATTATGTAATAGCATAACACTAAGACTAGAGATGTGTTTACAATATGTAATATGAAATGAAGTGAAATGGAGTTTAACGTCCTACTGTTCTACTCCGAACTGGGCTAATGAAGACGGGCATATGCCATACAGTGTGCTATGAGGGAAATTTTGCCCAGACAACAGCCTACTCTTATATCGAATTCCAACTGTCAAGGAATCTTTTACGTACACGCGAATGTGTACACGGAACCTCGGTGTTTCGTCCCACCCGAACGACTAGACAGCTGTCCTTGTATCACTGACAAGGGAGAACCACGCCGAAAAATCTGGATGAACTTTCTCGGCCAATGCAGGGATCGAACACCCGACCTCCAGGCTAGCGAGCCAGCGTCCTACTCACTTAGCCACGGTGACCCCCCTGTAATAGTATAAGACTATATGATCAGAGATACAGTGGGTGAGAACTATGTTAGAATCTGTAATAACATAACACTACCTGTAGACATCAACCGGGATTATGATGACGGTGATCATAAAGCGTGTTATTATTTGCACAAAAAGGAACACGGTGGGTTAAAAACGATTTAGTTTCAGTTGGTGAATTTACATACCAGTAGTCGTACCTTTTGACTTTAATAAAAAAAATTCTAACCGTAAAAATAATATTCTATGTGGTTTTTAATTAGTGTCTGTATTTCTGTATTTTCTGGCAAAATCTCTCCCTTCCCCCTCTCTCTCTCTCTCTCTCTCTCTCTCACACACACACACGCACACACACACACACACATCGTTTGTATGTTTAATTTTTGTATACCTCCCCCCTCTCTCTCTCTCTCTCTCTCTCTCTCTCATCGTTTATAAATTGTATGTTTGTTTCTTTAGACCTCGTTGAATTGTTGCAAACATACGATAAGACCAAACACCCCTTAAAAACTTGAATAAAATGGTAAATGGTATTGGTAATAAAGTGTTGAAGTATTTATTGCATGCTTTAAACGTCGGTTATGCTATTACAATAAGTGTTGTTAGCATGTTAAATATATATTTAATGGATATTCATTATGTGCTCGTTTAGCCGAAAACATTGACTGTAAGTAGACACCGTTAGGACGAACAACTTAAAGGAAGAGAGAAATGAAAAATGAAATGAAATGGGGTTTAACGTCCTACTGTTCTGCTCCTAACCTGGGATAATGAGGGAAATTTTGCCCGGGCAGCGGCACTATCGCCTACTCTTATATCGAATTCTAACTGCCAAGGGATCTTTTACGTGCACGCTGACTAGACAGCTGTCCTTGTCAAGCCCTCCATCCTGCATCACTGACAAGGGGAAACCACGCCGGAAAATCTGGATGAACTTTCTCGGCCAATGCAGGGATCGAACACCCGACCTCCAGGCTAGCGAGCCAGCGCCTTACCCACTTAGCCACGTGATCCCCCTTAAAGGAGCTAAATCGCTAATATTTGGTACCTAGAAATTGACACAAATTGGTTGCAACGCATATAATAATGTAATTAAATATATATAAACTGATTTACTCTTAATTTCAAATCTGTTATGACAGGCAAAATACGCCAGAAGTCTCCATCGAATGGTAATCTCTAGCGTTTTTTAATTCTAGTCTACATAGTATTTATTACACATGCTCTCAAGGTAAGAATAGGACGTCACCGTTTGACATGACTTCGAGTCCCTTGAAACGCATTATAGTACACGATTCGTGTAGCAATGGTAAAATGTTTTTTTTGTATTAAATATTGGATATCAGAAGCCAATCTTTTCCCGGTAAGACCACAACATCAATGTTAATTTAAATTGACAAATAATTCGTGTTTTCAATGTCTAGATGATATTGAGTAAGAGACTTAGCTACTTTAATTTCGGGGGGGGGGGGATTGGATGGCCGAATGGTTAGCACGTGCTTGCTGTATCATAAGGCCTGTCATTGAGTCAACGGGTGTGGTTTCGAATCCCTGTCCAACCCCGTGGGTTTTCTCCGGGTCCTCCGGTTTCCTCCCACTGCTAAAGACCCCTACGCGCAAGCGAATTATTTAAATAAAACTAAACCATATGTTAGTCCCGAAATGATCTAGTCTGTGTCGAGTGGACGTTAAACCCCATCTCTCTCTCTCTCTCTCTCTCTCCCCACTTTAATTTTCAGTTCTCTGGGGCATCTTGGTATATAAATAACCACTTGAATCACGTGAAAGGTGTGTTGTTTAAATTTAAAACTGTAGAACTAAAAGCTTTTCAACAGCACAACCAAATATTTTGTTAAAGTAAAAGTATTTTTTTCGAAGAAATAAGAAAGAACATATCTATTTTGTGTTCCTCTCATGTTCATACTGGCGTGCGCGTAAAAGATCCATTGGCAGTAGGAATTCGATATAAAAGTAGTCCGTATACCGCTGACCGGGCAAAATTCCCCTCATAGCACACTGTATGCCGTATTATCGCAGTTGGAGCAGAACAGTAGGGCGTTAAACCCCATTTCATTTGATTCGATTGTGTGTTCGTTTAGCCGAATCGACTGGCGGTTAGAGTGTGTATTTAAACACAGTGTGGGAAGATTTGATAGCGTTATTATTAGGCTTCTCTCTCTTCTACTCCACGCGTTGTACCTCTAGTGAAATCAGCCACAACACGCATAGACCGCTTTAACACTTTTAACAATATTTGACTTTGCTCGGATTATCCATATAATCAAAGGATTACTGATTCCGGATTAATTATCTTATTGGATAAAATCTTCATCACTGGTAAATAATTTTAATTTATATACTTAGCTAGCCAGAAATATAATGACATATGTTGTTATATATATAATTATTTGTATATAAGAGTATTGCGGATAGTGATGCAAATGCAAACTAGATATATGGGTATAAATGACATTAGTTGTTTTGAACCAGGTATGTTTACTTTGAAATGAAATGAAATGGCATTTAACGTCCTACTGTTCTGTACCGACTGGGCTAATGAAGACGGGCATACGCCATTTCGTGTGCTATGAGGGAACCTTTGCCCGGACAGCGGCACTATGGCCTACTCTTATATCGAATTCCGACTGCCAAGGGATCTTTGACGTACACGCCAATCTATACACGCTTCCTCGGTTTTTGGTCCAATCCGAATTACTAGACATCTTTTTTTGTCAGGCCCTCCGTGCTGAACAACTAACAAGGGGAAACCACGTGGGAAAATCCCGATGAACTTTCTTAGCCAAAGCAGGGATTGAACATGCGACCTTCAGGCTAGCGCGCTAGCGTCTAACCTACTCAGCCGCCGTGGCTCGATGTATACTCTGCCTCGTACATGATACTATATAATCATTTATATTAAAGAGCATGACGAATATTGATAGCTATGCTAACTACATGACGGGCCATACGTGACATTATATATTGTAGCACTTTGGCTCGTACATAACACTCGGCGACATTTTAAGATATTAATTCATGAGATGCAAAGTTTAGTAAAATACCCCAATGGCAGAAGAGTGCGAGGGGATAATTTATTTGTATTTTTTTTTCTTTGCTGTTTTTCTCCCCTAAATCACATTAATTTCTGAGGTAATGACAATACATTCTTTGTAAAATGAAACGCCTTAAGAACTGAAATATATTGAAGGAAAATATGTGTGTAGAGCCATGTAGACTGTTTACTTCAACTAAATATTTAATCTCTATAAGTCCTGTCACGTTTATGTGAATTCAGACGTGCAGACAAATTCTTTAGTCTGATTCTACAATTTCAATGTGATGCGAGAGAGAGAGGGAGAGAGAGAGAGAGAGAGATATTTCAATTTTATTTAAATTATTCAGTTGCGTGAAGGGGTCTTTAGCAGCGGGAGGAAACAGGAGGACCCATAGAAAACCCACAAGGTTAGACAGATATTACGGACCTTGTCTAATCGATTTAATATCTCAACCAGTCGACCGTCTACAGAGTCGGTTTATATAATTTCTACCACATTTGACGCCAGAAAAAAAGGTTGCAATAGACAGATTTAGCACTTACATAATGCATCTTTAAAGGGCGAATATCTCTATTGTTTAAAGAACTAGTCGAAAATGGTTCTACATGAACTCATTAATATAAGAGGCATGTATATAAAGTGATTTATATCCAATATTTAATTGAAATTTCTAATCAATTATGTTCGGTGAAAAACGCGAAATTGCGCCGGTTTAGTTCGTTCTATACATTTTGCTTTGTTTTCTTTTATATTATTTTATTCTTTTTTTCTGTCGTTTGTGAATCAGCCATTTTTAATTACATCCGCATTGTCTTCTGTGCTATTTTTTTCGTTGGTGATTACAAATGGCGCTTGGAATCATTATGTCCATACAATACACGACCCGTGTAGTGATTTTAAAATATTCATTGGGACTTAAATATTGGATATTTTCACGCTAAGATGAAATTGATTCAAATGGACCAATATTGAATTGTAATACGTGTTTTTAATTTCCAATACTATGGGTAATATTAAGTTAGAGGTTTAGCTTCTTTATGGAAGCGGGGTGGTTGGATGGCCGAATGGTTATCACATGCACGTTGTGTCATAAGGTGTGTCATTGAGTCAACTGGCGTGGTTTCGATTCCCCGGTTGTACATGTACGTGACAAGGAGTAGGGTCGCCTGTCCAACCTCGTGGGTTTTCTCCGGGTCCCCCGGTTTCTCCCCACTGCTAAAGACTCCTACGCGCAAGCGAATTATTGAAATTGAACTATATGTTAGTCCCGAAATGACATAGTTTGCGTCGAGTGGACGTTAAACCCAATCTCTCTCTTTCTCTCTCTCTCTCTCTTTCACCCCCCCCCCCCCTTTATATAAGTTATAAAATAGCATGGGTAATACTGAGTTAGAGGCTTAACTCCTTATAGAAGTTATAAAATATATATTTTATAACCCCTGTGTGTTGGTGTAACATTACTAGTTATTATAACCAGTGACAGGGTGTTAGAATTACTAACCTTACCGTGACATCTAGATAACCTCATTTTAATCGTCTCGCCTTTTACATGTTAAACTGCACAGTTTATAATAGTTATTTATTACATCAAACTATCAGTTGTTATTTATTGTTAATCTATAAAACATTGTCGGTACGAGTATGAGGGTTTGATCACGTAACGATCACAGGCCAGTCACCTCTACATGTGTAGCAGTGCCGTGGATACCGAGTGAATCGTCTCTCTATAATTATGTGTAGCAGTGTGTTCGTCGTCTCTCAACTGCGATCTCCAGTTCAATATCTTTTATCTTTTCGGTTTAAATGAAACGGTGTTTAGCGTGTATGTGTGGGTGTGTGTCTGTGTGTGTGTGAGAGAGAGAGAGAGAGAGAGAGGGAGAGAGAGGGTTAGTCATTTCAAGACTAACATGTGGTTCAATTATATGTCCTTAATTCGCTTGCGTTTAGGGGGTCTTTACCAGTGGGAGGAACCTAGGAAAAATCCACGAGATTGGACAGTAGACCCGACCTCTTGTCACGTACAAGGGGAGAATCGAACCCATGCCACTTGACTCAATGACAGACCTAATGATGCAACGCGCACGCGTTAACCATTCGAACCCCCTCCCTCGGAGTTTAACGTCCTACTGTTTTGCCTGCACCTACTGGGCTAATGAAAAGCAGCTTACGCCTAGATTTGCAGCAGTGTGGTGGCTGTCTTGTTATGCGGTTCGTCTCTCCACTGCGATCTCAAGTTCCATATCTTTTCATCTGAAATGAAATAAAAGGAAATAGTGTTTAAGCGTCCTTCTGTTCTGTACCTACTGAGCTGTGTGGTGGCTGTATTTTCATGCTGTTCTTCTCTCTAATGCGATCTCAAGTTTTCAACCGTCTCCATTAGCCCAGTCGGAGCAGATCAGTAAAACGTTAAACCCCATTTCATTTCCTATCTTTTGATTTGAAAGACCGACTCTACTACCGTTTAATACCAGGGGCGGATCCAGGAATTTTTGCAGGAGAGGGTTTGCCAGGTTCCTGTTAAGGAAAGTTGACAGTTAACAATGCATGATGCAATCATCGCCTCCAAATTACGTAGGCATACATACACACTGGGCTTCTTAAAGAGAGAAATCCAACACCCCGTTTGACGTCAATTTTTATTATGAATCAATACTATCACATTGCGATTCTATTTCACTGAGGGGGGGGGGGGGATGGCCGAATGGTTAGCACGCGCGCACTGTATCATACCGACCATCTTTTAATGCTTATAGACTTGTTATATCACATTGTACATCCATAAAGGATCACCCCAGATGTTATGTTATAATTGTATCATCAACTTTTGTTTATACTGTGTATGCTGTCCTTGGTGGATGCAAAGATACAATAAAATCTTATCTTATCTTATCTTATCTTATCTTACGGTCTGTCATTGAGTCAACTGGGGGAGGGGGGTCGATTCCCCGGTTGTACGTGACAAGGAGTAGGGTCGCCTGTCCAACCTCTTGGGTTTTCTCCGTGTCCTCCGGTTTCCTCCCACTGTTAAAGACCCCTACGCGCAAGCGAATTATTGAAATAAAATTGAACCATGCTAGTCCCAAAATGACCTAGTTTGTATCGACTGGACGTTAAACCCCATCTCTCTCTCTCTCTCTTTCTCTCTCTCCCTCACTCTATTTCACTGATGTAAAGCATTAATTGTGATGGCTATACCATTATCTCCTTGGGTAGTTTTTAGGTTACAATATGTTTATTGGAAATGTCAACGATGATCCGGTGTTAAAGCGCTGCGTTGCCGTTTGCCACAATCTTCTGAACATCTGAATGGTTGCTAGACTGCAAGGGGAAATCCTTGTTTTGTCAGAGTTGGCGAATCCTAAAAGTACGCCCTTGTGATGCGTTGTGGGTTGTGCGTAGCAAAGACGTCCACGGAGCTATACACTTTCCTCGAACTCCTAAAGGTTTATGGTGGCCTGGCGATCAACGCTTGGTCTATAAACCGGGTTCGTAGGTAACAGATGTTATACCTGAACTGAAAAGTTGATATCATTGACTAAGCAACAAATAACGTTTATAAATAAAAAGATACGACACAAATAGAGTCGTCAGTTTATATACACAATGTTTTGTAGTCAGTTAAAATTATTATTAATCAGGCTGTAGTCATTAGTAGGCAAGATCTACGCTCGTGGGTGAGATAATCTGTCGAAGAGAAGATGGAATTTAAACTGAATTGTGTTCTAATACAAGAAAGAGGTACGTTGGTCTGTAACTTATTGGAATTGTACACACGCATATGCAAGAGTTACTGACCGGTTTATTCTCTGGCTTTAGTGACTGCAGCGTGGCTCCCCTAGTTGTTCGGATAAAATATAAACTCGAAGTTTAACCGCCTACATATTGCCGTGCACGTATTAGAATCTCCAATAGTTGGATTCCATGACGAATATATGAAAACAGCGCTCCCCACTCCCGCTAATATCACTAAAACATATCTTCGGACCAATTTGGGGGCTGGGGATTGTCATCCATCTCCATCCCCGCCTATTCTCGAAAACAAAACCCCAACATATCTTTGGGCCAGTTTTTTTGGGGTGGGGTCTGGGCGGATTGTGGGGTCTGGGTGTGTGGGGGTTGGAGCGGGGGTAATGCCTCTGCACCAGTGTTAAAACATAATATTTATTTTTTTTCGGTGTGGGGGGGGGGGGGGGCGGCGTGATGTAGCCTCTATTCACACAGCTTATGCGATATTTCTACTAACTAAACGGTGCGATATATAGTTTAGACCAAATTTTTTGA